ATCAATCATGAGAAAAATAGTATTTTTGAGATTTTTTTTCAAGAGCTTATTTATCACTAGTTGCAACTAGTACAACATCATTTTTAGTTATAACATTTATTTACTAAATATTAAGGTATTATTATAAAGATTAGCAGATATATTTAAAATAGAGTTAAATAGTTCAGCAAAGATTATAGAATTTATTTAATAATTATAATTTTTATTTTTATTAAAGAAGATATTAATTCTTTATCTATATAAATATGAGTATTATTAATAGAAGAATTGTAACTCTAAATATCATGTAAAATTTACCAATTAATAATGATTTCACATTAGATAATTTTTCTATTATGTCAAATAGTGATTAATAATATTTCTATTTCTTTTGTATTTTTTGTATAGCTTATCTATTTTATTTATTATATTTCACTTATAATTCTTTTAATATCTATAATTTATTTTATTTATTTTTATTTTTATAGTTTATTTTATTTTTATTATTTTATTACATTTAAGTATATTTTTATTGAAATATATATCTATATTTGGTTAATTTATAATATAACAAATAGTTAATTATAATAAATTAATTTATATAAATAAAATAGCTTTTTACTTAAATTGTAAATTAATTCTTTTACAATATCATTATAGAATTTTTCAACTCAGGTTGGTTATATCCTTAAGTCTCTACTTGAGGTTATGATTAAGATATTAGAATTTACTTAACTCTTAATTTTACTAAATCTACATATTTAAACTTAAATAAATCTATCAAGTATGAAGACTTGAAAGACAAGGTTACAAATAATTTAATTAAAGAATTTAAATGATAAACTTGATTATAAATAATATGTAGAAATCACATCAGATTATATGAAGATATGAAGGGATAGAAAGATATAAATTTTAATTGATTCCTTTATTAATATTAAAACTTAATTTCTAATCTATAAAAGAGTTATTTCAATTTTAAAAGAGTTAATTTATAATATAAGCAAAAAGTCTATTTATTTATACAAAATTTCTTTTGACATAGCTAACTATTTACTATTCTATAAACTAATTAATTTGATAAACAAATATAAGTAAAATAAAATAATAAAAATACGTAAAATAATAAAAATATAAAATTAATAAAAATAATAATAAAATTAGAATATTAAAAATAAGTATAACATTAAATATTCCTAGATTTTATTTAACTTGTAAAATTAGAATTATATTTTAGAATTCTAAATTAAAATATTATTATACTACGTTATCTATATAACTTCATTATTATTGGTTAATTGCTCTGTTGATAACAAATATAGTTAACTCTTATTATAATGGACTTTATGTCCTAAACTTCAACTTCATTATAAGGCTATAATGAAGATTTTAAGAGATTTTATTGGCTAATTTACTATAATAAGAGTATTTTTATTATATTTATTCAAAAAATTTGTTATATTAAGAATTTATTATATCAAGCGTTAACTATACAAGTTTTAGTATTATAAATAAGAGAATCAATTTAAATCTACATAAATTACTTGTCCTTTCAATATCATTCTTTATCTAAAATTAGTTTTGATACTTTATATTAACTTATTTTTAAGTTTATTATTATGAATTTAACTAAATATATCTTAAATTCTAAAATGTAATAAATTGCTAAATTAATTTAAGTATAACAGATACTTGTAAGATTTACAGAAAATCCTAAAATCAGAAATTCTAATATATAAAATCAATTGTTGCTGCCTTTTAACTTAAATATTAAGATAATTAAAATAAACCTGATGATAATATAAAAACATTTTTATGTAAAAAGTGATTTATATTTTTAAATAAATAGTTATGTCTTTTACATTTGAATTGTTATTCCAGTCAGGATTAATAAAAGATATATTTATTATTTTTAAGTAAGAATATTTAATATTATATTAATAATATATAATTTACCAATATTTGTAGATTTAGTTATAAAAATATATGATTATCTAGAAATACTATTACTACTTTTATCTAAATAAATATAGTTAATAATATGTAATATTGATTATAAGGAAGTTTAAGTATAATAGTTTCTGAATAAATGTGAGAAGAATTTTTAGATAATTTATTTGAATTCAGATAATATTAAAAAGGGTAATACAGAGGATAGACAAAAGTATTCACACACTTTTTTGCTTAATATATAACTTAAAATTTTTTGTATTAACAATAAAAGATCAATTAATATTTATTTAAAGCTGATTAATATTTACATTTTATACTAAGTAACTAGTACTTAGTTGGGTCACCATTTGCTATAATCATAGCTTGAATTTGTTACAGTATACTATTGACTAGGTTTTCAATAGTATGCTTCAGAATTTCTTATCATGCCTTTTTAATATATCAGTCAAGATCAGCAAGATTAGATAAAGGTTTTTTATAAGCTCAGATACTTTTTTTGACTTCACCTAAAGATTCTCAATTGGATTAAAATTAAGACTTTGAGCTAATCAAGATAATATACAAAGATTATTTTCTGCTTTAAAAGATATTGCAGTTAATTCTTTAATTTTTACCTTTTTTTTTTAAATTTTCAGAGAAGAAAAAAAACAAATTGTTATTCTTTTATTTTTATAATATAAATAAACACTTAAGTGATATGTGAACGTGATTTATTATTGCAATTATATGACTTTACTAATATTAGTTTATATTTTATAAAGGGTGTGTAGATACTTTTGTCTATTCTTTATAGAAAATTAGATTTTTAATAAGAGTAGTAATCTATTTAATATTAATTTAAATTAATTGTTTAAAGATATCATTTGTGATTGTATAATTATAGTCAAGTTATAAAAATTTGTTAAAATGTTTAGATATAAAGATAAGAATTTTTTACAGTATGTGTTATTTGATTTAATTTATAATCAGATTTAGAACTTATCAATACAGTCAACTCTTGATATAGCGAACTCTTAATATAACGAATTTTTTAAACAAATATAATAAAAATACTCTTGTTATAGCGAATTGGCCAATCAAATCTCTTAAAATCTTCACTATAGCCTTATAGCGAAGTTGAGGTCTAGGATATAGAGTTCATTATAATAAGAGTTAACTGTATGTTCAAAAATAATTATTGGTAAAAATAAGAAATCAATATTTTATTATTATATTTTTGATCATTTAACAACATAATTATTTAATTTATCATGATAAATTATACAAGAGGTTATAAGTAGTGATGAGGATATAATTAAATATATTTCAAAATAATGAGAATATATAAGATTATAAATTCAAGAGTTTACGTGTTGTATCTGAATTGTTTCCTTTATATGATTTTAGCTTTTTAGTATGATAACATTCAAATACACTTTTGCTAATATTTCTATTAACATATTTGTAATCTTTAAAAAAATCTTTATTTTGATATATGCATATAATACTTGATTTACATGTTTCCAATTTTCAAACTTATATTTAACTTTTAATTTATCTACTTGTTTTAATTAATTTCAAGTTTTGAAGAATTTTTTGATTTTTTTTTTTGAAATTACAGACTTTGAAGTTAAACTGAAGTATAGATTTTGTTTAAATCTTCTTGGTTATATTCTGACTTATGATCATTATTAGGAATATCCATTTTATAAAATTAAATGTTGTAACAGTAGTACAAATAGGTAAGAAAAAAATAAATTTAGATCAGTATTACATCACGTATGTCATGTGAAATAGGATGGCAAAAATTAGTTTTACCGCTTTAGCATAGACTTTCTATTATTATAATATATAAAGAATTTTATTATAAATTAAGTAGCTTATTTTACATTTAAAACTTCAAATGTTATAAAATACATGTGTTATAAAATCTGTATTTTAAAAAACGATCATCTTATTTCAATTAAGCTTCTGCAAAGTTTTAATTTAAATGGCAGCAAAGTTTCATGACGTGTATAATTCTTTCTCAAATAAGTTATTATTCTATCTCTGATTTAAAATGAACTGTCAAAGTCAACCCTTCCTAATTAGTCCTAAGTTTAATAAAAAAACCAATCTTTATTTCAACAATAAATAAATATCAAGACTTCACCAATGCCTATATATATAGTGTTATGGTTAAGACGGCAAATTGTACCCCCTAGTTCTGAAAATGGAATAAAATTAAAAGTAAAAGGTGGATCAGACATTGATGATATAGAAATTACTGACTTCCTCTGTGTAATGTTACAAAATGACTGGCATCATGGCAATTGATTAGAATTAATTGTGCTGCATATGTGACGAATAGTAGTAACAAATAGGATTTCACCTACCGAAAAAATTACAAGTCCTCATAATACTTAGTAAAAATGAAACGCGAAGGATGTGACACTGGTGACAAATTATATCACGTGAAATTTAGTGACATTTTTAGAAGGTATAGCCTATATAATGTATGAACAATGAGGCCAAGGTTACATGTACCTAGAGGAGATCGGACTCCTCCACTTCCTATTACTCGTCTAATAGATCCTATATTGAAAATCTCTGCTAATGTGTCAGCCCAAAAAATATAGTAAATGAGATAAAAAAAATTGAAAAAAAACTTAACGAACACAATCTACATCACGGATCCTCAATTTCAGCATAATATGCATGTAAGAATAGAGAACCTCCAAGATAAAATTGAATATAATAGAGAGAAAATCATAAAATTAAAAGGAATGCAAGTTATACTCAAAGGTGCAAAGAAAAGAAGAAGAAAACACTTATGGCTTATATGTATAGTGGGGTATCAAAGTTACAGAAATATATTTATTATTACATTGTGAAAATACGAAGTATTGTAAATTCATTGCTACATGAATATATGATACAAATGGTCATATGATAAACAATATTTATCTGAACAAATTAACTTTCGCATAACTCCTATCACGTTAAAAAAAATAATTAAGTGTTCAACTTATTCACCATACTCTTTTTCGTAGTGTTTTAATATAATTAGGAACAATGGTTAAATACCCACACTTACAAACACCTGCTTCTTACAAATCGTCTAATGTATCATCGTCATTTATTCCTTCAACAACATCAATTGTTTTGGAGACAATTGTCTAAAGTTTTGAAGACAGTTAAATATTAGACAATAATTTATTTAATGTAATGACAAAGTATCAATACTAACCTTTGCTTTTCAAACTAAAATCATGCATTTGAGAACTTTTTCAAAGCATTTAACATCAGTTAGTATCTGTAAAGTATCGGATCTCAATATTCTACAAATATAGCCAGCAGAAACATCCATACGTAGTAAAATCATATGAAGGTCTGTATGATGTTGTGATATAATGCAGTTAATAATTTTTCAAAATATAGATAGTTAAAAGAGATTTATGTTATTTTTTGAATAATTTCAAAACAAACCTTGGTTCATCAAGGATATATCAACTAAGGACTAATTTAAAGATCCAATTGCTAAGATTAATATTGCAGTTTTTGATGGTAGTTATTTTCTGTGGCTACACATTGTTACATGTTTAGAATTTAAACTGATTTATTGAGAAATGATGCAACCTAAGATTGTTGGAAATCTATATAGAACTTTAAAAATGAAGAAAAGTATATGATATTGTTATTGAAGCAATTAATGATATATTTTTTTTCATATCTTTAATTTATTTGTAAATATTATAGTAATCTGACCACATGGTAAACTTCTTGAAGTCGAAAAACATGGTTTAAGTGGCTTTTCGAGATATTACCAAAGCTATTAAATTTGCATATGACTTGAAAATTTTGCACTGTGATATCTCCTTTGAAAATATAGTCATATTTCAAAATCATAGATATCTTATTTACTGGGGGGTTACAACAAGTATTTATAAAGTTACAAATATAGCTTTGGTTGCAACCTATCTTTTTTCTTCCTTAAAGATACTGTATGATCTTTATAAATTATAAAAATTTGTATAATGCATGTCGCTAATATGTACATTCTTATATTACATGCTTTTTAGATTACAAAATATCTGACACAATATGAAGCATATCATATGAGGCCTTTGTAATAGAAAGGGAGGAAACTCAAAAAAAAATAAAAAATGAGTTAATAATAAATCTGAACAAATTATAGTATTTAGAACATTTTTGGCTTATAAACTAAAATTTTAATTTTTTTGGAGTTTCCTCCCTTTTTATTGCAAAGACCTCATATACTATTAAAAATAATATTGAAGCTCTTTTCTTTATGCTTCTTGTGATAGCGTAATAGTTTAGAAGAAATCAAAATATCTTCAAGAAATTTTAAACTTCAAGCTCAGTTTTATTGTTAAGTTTGACTATTAACTTAAATACATATATCAAGAATTTCACGTCTTTTTAGATATATTTCGTAATAGTCTTTCTAGAATCATTTTTTCTTCTATTTAGACTGGCGTATTAGAAAGTTAAATATTGATAAAATCACTAACGCCTTTGAAGACTATTTGAAAACAATATAACTATTTGAAATTTTTTTTTTATAAAAAGAATAATTGGATCAATCATGTCATTTATTCCATTTTATAAATAAGTATTGATATTTTGTATGATATACTAAAATATCTGGCATAGAAATTATAATACATGTCAATATTAGGAGATAAAGCACTTGATTTTTAAAGAGATTTATATTATTACATTTGATTTTTTTGTAACTTCATCAAAAATAACTATCCCAGAAAAAATTTTTAATTACGTGATTTATAGTTTGCATTATGCATAATTCCTAAATCCTGATTTAACTAGCATAGCGGATATACTTAATTATATCACAATTTGCTGATATTTTTTGCAAATCTTTTGCTAATTATTATTTTATTTTATCAAAAGAAACTTTTATTATTACTATTATTATTATTAATTTTTATTAAAAATATGAGACTTTTAAAATTTAAGAGCTCTTATCACATCAAAACTAAAAAAAGAGATATTGTTATTATCAAGTTTCTTTTTTTAAAAAATCTGAAATTTTTACTTGTTCATTACTTAAATGTTAAATATAATAAAGCTTTTCAGAAGATGCTAATTTACAAACTAACTTTTTTAATAATGTTTTATTAAAAAAATCGTAAATACAATCTTTTATATTATATATGAAATAGAATCAAAAGATTATAAAATTAAAAATACTCAAGAATTCATTATCAATACTTTATTAATATTAGAATTAAATCTAGATAATGAAATTATCTCTTTAACAGATGATAAAAAGTTCATTCAAAATATAGATACTTTAAACAATGATGATATGCAAATAGATAAAGATAATATTAAATACAATAATTTTCCTATTTTTCTTTCTTCCTTCAAATTACCTTTACCTCTAATATTTTTTAACAACTTTTAATAATATAAATAGCTTATCAAAATTAAATTATAATAATAATAATTATAATAATATATTAATATAAATAAATAAATAAATAAATTAATACATTGAATAATAAATAAATCCAATCTTTAGATGCATCATTATATAAATCTAAAAAGAAAACAAATACAAATAAGAACTTATTTGAAGATGATCTATATCATTCAATTAAATATACTTTTCACATGCTTTAAATAATAACAAAGGTAACATATTCATCTCAATACTTATTTTTGCAATGAAAGGTAAAAATATAAATGACAAATTAGATTAATTATATAGTATTTTTAAACATCAACTAGGCTTTATTAATATTAACTGATATTTTCATAATAGCAATATGCAAATTTTATTAAGTTTAATAATAGAAAACTTCTTTTAAAAGTAGTAGACAAAGTATTATTATAATATCTGAACATTTTTTTTTAATATAGAAGTAAAAAGAATTTTTCTTATATTATAAATAACACATTTATATTTAGACTTAAAGTAGTATTATTCTATATTATACTGCAACATATTTACTGTATCCTATTATATTATAATAAAATTGAAAATATCAAAAATAAATTTAAGAACTATTATAATAATCATGTAATGTAATAATTTTTTTTAATAAATTAAATAAATTCAAACAGATAAATTTTATATAGATACAAAATATTAATAAATAGGTTATCAGATATGCTTATATAGACATTTCAGTTAAAAATCTAAAATTAAAAAATAATTATATTATAGGATTTAAAGATTTTCTTAACAAAATTACATCTGAAACTTTTTGCACTCTATTATTTTGAGTTATTTTTATAATAATATAATTTATACTGCTTTCAACTTAAAAGTAATATAAATGTTATTTGTAAATAACATAATTCACATAATAGATATATTATTAATAAAAGATCTAGAATCTTTAGCAGATAATATAATAATAATAAATTTAATTAATTTGCTTTTAGATTCAGGTTACTCACTTCAAAATCTAACAACTTTTAATACTGTAATTAATTTAAAAGATCTTTATTGAAAATGAATCAAGATTACACCTCTTATTAATGTTTAAGATCTTCTTTTAAACAAATCTCTTCTTATAAATATTAGAATAATAAAGATAATAATTTTTAATCTTGCTAATTTAGAATTAATAACAATCCCTTATTTTAAATTCTTAATAAATTTCAAAAATTAGATTTAATTAAACATACTTAGCTCAATTAGATTCTTAATTTATATCTCTTTTTAACTATAATAGATTAATAGTTTAACATTTATAATACATTTATATTAAGTGAATCAATGATTGAAAGTTTTCTTATTGATAATAAAGATTCTTCTAAATCTCATGTACAATTTTTAGATAAACAAAAAAACATTTTTTATACAAATAAAAAATCAATAATAGACACTAATATTTAATATATAGATAATACAATTACTAACAAAATTATTACAGAAAATGTTATTAAATTTATTACATATAATATTAAAAATATTAACAAATATACAAATTTGATAAAAATTTCTTAAATATTTGAATACTTTATAAATAAAAACATTGATTTCACTAGTTTACAAAAATAAAATATAAAATCATTTATTTTTAAGTTCAAAAATAATCTTACTTTTACTTATTTTTAAAGTTATCCTAAACATTTTTTCCTTTTAATTTTAAGAGATAAATTTATTATAACAATTTTATTTGAGTTTTCTAAGTTGATTTATATTGACTTAGTTTAAAAATATACATAAAATTTTGTATTTTTTTATATTATATTCAAACTGATATAAAAGATCTAAAATAAGCTAATGAATAATACTTTTTAGAAATAAATTCTTTTTTTATAAGATAATAGCTTCAAGAAAACTTATTATATGATTTTTGTAGATAATTTTAATATTAATATAAATAAATGTCATAAATAATTAAAAAAAATAAAAAGATTGAATAATATATAATATACACAAAATGTCTAAAGTAAAAGAGTTGTTATAAAAAATTTGATATTGAATCAAAGTAAATAAGAAATTATGAGAGAAAAAGGAAGCAACTTATGTCTTTAGTTTATATTAAAAAGTTCTATTTAGAAAAGTCTTCAAATTTACCTGAATAAAAAAACTTATTATTTTAGTAGATACAGAGTTTAAGATAAGAAAACAAAGCTATAACTCACAATATAGTTATAAAAAAGCAAAAAAACTGGCAGAAATTGATGAAATAAAACAACTTTATCCAGCAATTCAAGATTTAAAATTTTTTAACAAGTGGTTAGATAGTTTTTATTAGTAAATTTAATTTATCTAATAGAAGAAAAATAATAATATCTTAATACTTACCTGAAGATTTAATTGAAAAATAACATTTATTTTTAAGTTTTATTTTTTTTTAAATAAATACAATATGATTATCTACTCAATTTAATTGCTAATTTTAATGAAACTTCTTTTAGCTTTGATTTATTATCTTTAATCATATTATAAATGAAGAGATCTAAAACTATTAGTATTAGTTCAACTAGTTATAAAAAAAGTTATTTCACTGTAGTTTTGATATATATGTTAGATATAACTAATTAAAACCTGTAATTATTTTTAAATTAAAAAATATACCTTGTAAAATTTTTTCTAATGAAATAAAAGTTTAGATTAATAAAAAGGGTAGGTTAACAAGATAAAAATACTCTATTAGATTGAAAATGTGTAGCATAATAGGATTGATACAAATGTTAATCCAAGAAATCTTTTAATATTTGATTTCTTTCATGGTTATTTAGTTAATAATATTAAAAATAGGTTATATAAAAAATAAACATATATTGCAATAATTTCTAAAGAATTAACTAGCAAACTTTAACCATTAGATATTAGAGTTAATAAAATTTTTAAATTAAAGGTATTTATTTATATTATTTATTTTTTTAATTGATTTAATAATTTTATTTAATTTTTTTTTATTTATTTAATTCATAAATTATACAATAATGGATAGCTAAAGAAATTTATAATTTACTCCAGCTGGAAGGATTAAACGACCTACTTATAATAAAGTTACGCAATAAATTAAAGTAACTTAGAATAATATTGATATTGAAAAAATTAAAAAATCCTTTAATTATTATGAAATTTTCGTAGCAAAAGATGATATTGAAGATGATCTTATTTTGATTATAATTTGTTAAATAATAAAAATAAAAATCCTATTCTTATAGTTAAAGATAGTATATATGATAATAATATTATTGATGATTATAAAATTTATAGAATTAATTAATTGACCAATGAATTATAAATTGTAATTTGATAATAAAGATTTTTTTTACGAATTATTATATTAAATTTGACAAAATAAAATTTTATATAAAAATACATCGTGATACTTAGTACTAGGTACTTTACATAAAGCTGATATATTTATAATATATAGTATCTAAAATATTTTACATTTTAAGCTGTTTCAGAAGAAGGGATTATTATACACAAGAAGTACTATAAAGCATACTTTACAGTAATTTTAACTATTATTAATATATTATATTATATTGATTTTTTATATTATATTCTATTTTTTTAATATATTTTCTATACTTTTATTATTATTATTATTTTTTTTATTTAAATCATTATTTTTATTTTTAAATAAAGAAATTTCATTTTCTTTAAAAATGTAAATAATTTCTTATTTAAACTTTAATATTTTTTTTATTTCAAATAAAATATAATTAAAATAAATAAGAATATTCATTATTAAATAGAGTATTTAAACATTCTTTATAAAAATATATTTATAAATTAAAATAATTTTATTAAATAATTCTATATAATTTGATAATAAGCAATTATCTACATCACAAAATTTATTATCAGCAGATATAATAAAATAGTATGCAAAAGTGAATAGGATTAGTAATTTAAAGAATTGTAAATAATACTATTTAACATTAAATATTTAACATATAAAGAATTTAATATTAAATCCTTACCTTTTGAATTTTAAATGATTTTAATAAACATAAATAAATTTATCTTTACTTTTAGTATTATCTGCTACTATTAGCATTCTTAATAATAATTTTTTTTAACCCTTATTATTATTACTATTTATTTTATTTAATCAGAAAATATATATTAAGAGGTTATAAATTAAATGATGTAACACATTTGACTTAGAAAAATATGGATAAAGTTTTTTTAATTATAAGGATTTGTAAAGCTGCTTATGTACTATATAAAAAAAATTTTTCCGATTTTTATATATATGTAAATAGTTATATCCTGGCTAATTAGGAATAAGTAAATTTTTACTAGGATTGGATAAATGATCGGCAGATAGGCCCTATTCTAAGTAAAATTTTACTTAACCAGATTTATCTCCTGTCATTTACGTGATTATGCGTGTATAAGTAATATATATGAAATTTGATCGCCAGTAGGGTATAAGTTATTTGTTAATCAGGGGAAAATTTGCTAGATTCTGAGAATTTTTTGGCTAGCATTAATATCGTATTTGCATTTCAATCTAATAACAAATCTCTGATTTTTCTAGCAATCTTTCCTTATTAAAACCAAAAAGATCATTGCATAGAAAAGGGGAGAAACAAATAAAATAAGTTGATCAACCTGAAAATCATATTTGGTAATAAGAAATAGTGATGCGTGACCAATGATCAGCGATTTAAAGCGATTTGGTCAAAAATGTTGTATTCAAATTTTTTTTGTCCGTTTTTTAATTGAAAAAATTATAAAAACAACAACTAGCTATTCAACATAATCATGTATCATCCTCCACGTGGTGGCGTTCGAGGCGGAAGAGTAAGTAAAGATTAGAGTATTTACCTTCCTCAATTGCTTTAACTGACTATCTATATGATTATTTCTACAATTCTATCTTTTGTTCATTCATAAATAATTCAGGATCAATTCAATTGTATGTAAAGAATTTGCTTTATATTATTATTTTATTCATTTTGTAAAACTGGTTAATGATTCTTTTTCGATTATTATAGGGGAGTAAGCAATTCCTAAAAAAAAAAAAAAAAAAATTGTTTTTAAGGTAATAAGTTTAAAAAAATCAAGATAATTAATTTCAAAAAAATTACAATTAGGGATGTGAAGACCGATAAGCATAGAGAAAACTATCTTGGACATTCGTTACATGCACCAGTAGGAAGGTGGCAACAAGGCAAGGATCTTACATGGTACGCTAAAGATGGAAAGCAAGATGACTCACGCAATGAAGAAATCAGGGCAATCAAAAACGCGGAGGCTGATGTTATGGCTGAACTATTGTAAGGAATTAATTTGAATCAAAAAAGATTGAATTCTTTACATCTGAATTAATATTTTAATAATTTGTATTTATAAAAGGGGTGGCGGTAAAAGACGAGTAGTCACGGGAAATGTAACTCAACAAGAGCTCAGTAATGTTTTAAAAAGGCAGCAAGATGATGAGGAAGATAGCCTAAAGGAAGCAACTCAGGAAGTTACTAAAGGATTTAGGTGGAAAATAACTAACAATTATTTAAAGAATTTTTTAATTTAAAATTTTACTAATAAATTCTTTATAATTATTCGAAGTTCGGGCAGATTATCAATTAGTGAGATGGTTCCAGAGGGAACCTTACTTCAAGAAGATGATAACTCTATTTCAATATCACACCGAGATAATAAGAAGAGAGCATCAACATTGCTTCAATCGGAAGATAAAAGAAAGGCAAAAAAAGTGAAAAAAGAAGAAAAGAAAAAGAAACATAAGAAGGATAAACATCGCAGCAAAGACAAGCATAAAAAGAGCAAAAGAAATGAATCTCATTGAAATTTATCACGAAGCAAATACAAATATATTATTATTCTTATTATTATCATTTGAACATTCATACTTAAAATGTTTTAGCACCTATATTTGTTATCTATGAAAATCATAAGAAAAAAAAAAAATTGCGGTCCGTGTTATTTCTTTATACATAATAGATTTTTATTATAACAACCACTACAAGAAAGGTTAATCATTCAGTTTTCCCAAAATCGAATTAGTCACTTTACAAGAAAAGAAAGATTTGCAAAAATAACTGTTTGTATATAATTCATGTATCTAATGAATTTGGTGTTACATTAGTTTGATGGTTAATATGGATAAGGTTGATCACCGAAATTGCAAAGCGTTGTAATACTTTTTGATATCATAAATTAATTTATCAGATATTAAAAATTTAGATAAAAATAAATATTAGATAGATATTTTTTCTTTTATAAAGTCAATAAATAAAGGTATAAAAATAAAAAAAGAGGGGGAAATATGAAAATTTTTAACATTTTTGTAACTTTGTTAATATTGTTTTTGAGAACAAACCATCTTAAAATCATTTAACTATATTTGGAGTTAAAGTATACAATGATCTTTGCATTTATACTTTTTCATAGAAAAAAAATTTTCTGTACCATTGTGAGGGATGTATAAAATCCGGAAAAATGGTAAGGATAGTACAATATAATTTTGTGCGTTTTGAAAATATTTTTATGTAATATTCTTTAGTCAGAAAATTACTTTATCATTCTAGACTTGTTAAAGTATAAAAATCCGAAATCAAATTTAGAATTATTTTTATGTAATAGGAACGAATTGTTATTTGTTATATGTTTATTTTTATAAAGTTAATTCGTGATGGAGTACTGTTAGTAGTACAAGTATGATATTACAAAGTCAGTTTTCAAAAATTATTACAATTATGCGAATAATTCACAAAACTTTTAAAACGATTGTGACATTCTCAATTATAAAACGGAAAAGTGTAAACAAATAAAAGTAATATGATGATCATTTAATTTTAATTATAATTTCCCCAAGTTCGAAATTCAGCGAAGAATAACAGCGTATGTATGTACATTATCAAAAAAAAAAAAAAAAAAAAAAAAAAACTTGTTTCAAATAGAATAAATAATACAATAACAAAAATATATGTTGTACATTTTATTTTAATGTTTTTGGTGTTTTGGTCTATTACTCGATTCATAAATTTGAACATCGTTCCACCAAATGTTTATTTATATAAAAGGGAATCCGCATGTAATAAAAAGTACACTAGCATAAAGTAGCGGTCTAATTGTCAAAAAAAAAAAAAAAAAAAAAAAAAAAATTACTCTTCGATTTTAGAAATTTTTTTTTTTTTTTTCCTTTTTTTTTTTCTTCATAACTAGAGTTTTTTTTTAACAAAATAAAAAAAAAAATTTTTTTTTTTCCTCCAATATACCTTAGCGATCTCCTCCCATATAACTTATTACATATCCTTCATTTATCTATTCACTTTATTTATAGGGTGCAGTTGTATGGCACCTTGATTTATCACCACACAATGCTTGATAAACATCCTTCAAACGCTAAAGTGAATATAGGAAAGAAGGATGAAATTGATAATGTCGAAAATTCCATAATAGATAGGAATATGTCAACAGTTTCTTTTTTGACAGAGGAGGAGGAAGCAGCCATAACTTCTGAAAGAGTTAAAACAGCTGCTAAACTCGAAGGTATTTCAACCGAAAAAGTCTTATCTAGAAATAAAAAGGCCACTATTAATAATAACGTAGCTACAAATACATCCGGAAATAGCAGTACGTCATAATATTCATTTCTTCATTTTATGAGCCCTCATACTTCGTTATTAAATTTTTTGTTTGCTTTTCCTTCCCTTCCTCTCCTCATTTCTTCCCTAACTCATTTAGCGGATCGATTATCAAAAGAGTCAGGTATAGGTTCAAGCGTTAGTAGTTCATTGGATGAAAAAGATGATGAAATAGATAATTCTCCTAGTGAATTATTCACTTCTTTTCAATCTAATACTAATACTGAAAACACAAAAATATCGCCTAGAGTGAGTCAATTATTGGATGAATTAGATGATACAATGACAAAAATAACAAATGATAACAAAAAGTCTCTTGGTATAATAACTGAAGAAGATGATTCATATCATAACAATCATAATAATAATAAGCATAGTAATAATCATAATAGTAATGATCCTTGCCTTAAGAAGCAGAAACAACATAGAAAAAATGAATTATCTTCCTCGGTTCATGTAGATCTTAATTCTGAAATACCGGAATCAAATTGTACGTTTAATGATACAGAATCTTCAACATCAGGTGGAACGAATAATGAACCAGATTCACCATCATTACCAAATAATTCCACAACAACTGAATTTGTAAAAAGAAAACATTCTTTTAAAAGGAAAAATTCAAGTCGGTCAATATTTAGTGTATTGTCCTCAGGATCACTTCGTTCTTCAACTTCTCGTAATTCTCGGGGGGGTTCTTTTTCTTTATCAGACCCTGAAGATGAACTCTCTAATCATAATCAAAGAGTTTCTATAGTGGATTCTCCTTCAAAAGCTGAACGTATATTAAGCCGTTCGGGTTTTTCTTCCTTGTCAATAAGGCGACGTCGTTCTAAATCAACAATGTCTGTTGCTCTGCCCGAGAAAAATAATATAATCTCCCCCAGATTATCAAGTTCTCCTGAAAGTTTATCCAAGGCTGGTAAAATTTTGGGTTTAACGGCTTCTGAAGCAAAAATTTTATTAGATAAACCAGATAATAATAACAATAAGCCGACGAGAAAAGTTTACGGATTTAGACCTTCATCTTCATCATCAGAAGAAAAAGTCGTACTCCCTACTTCAAATAATGCAAAGAACAGCAAGATATTTGGATATGATGATAATATATCACTTTTAGATAGATCGAGTAAAGCGAGTAAATTATTAGGTTTGGATGATGGTGAATTAAGCAGAAGGGCAACTTCAATGTGTTTGGTATCTGAGTTTAAAAGTATTAGTAATAATACAAAATCAAATTTAGGTGGAGGGAATTTGGGATGTCCGATAACAGTAGCTAGTATAAGAGAAAGTATAATAACGTATCGAGGGATTTTATCAAAATATACAAATGCGAGTTTTAAATTATCAAAATCATGGAAAAGGAGATATTTTATATTATCCAAAAATATCCTATATTGTTTTAAATCGTCAGAACGTACTTCCCAATTATTAGATCAATTTGAATTCAACGCTGACAGTGTCGTTTGTGTTAGTGAAGCTTTTAATGGTAAAAGTTGGGTGTTGCAAGTTGGCAAACCAAATCAAAAACCTTGGTTTATACAAGCTGATAATGTTGAAGATATGAAATGTTGGTTAAGTGAATTAAAATCTATTGCGGTAAATTGTAGGTCAAATTCATCTGAATTATCTGCTATACCTCCTGCTTCACACGTGAATAAATTATTAATTGATGATGACGACGATGTTGAAGAAGATTACGTTGATGATGACGTTGATGAATATGAAGTTAATAAATTACACATGAGAACTAGTTCTTCTCCTACTAAATTAATTGGTTCTCAATTATCAACCACCAAATTTTCATCATCAATTAAACAGACACCGCGACCTTTTATGTTAACTTCTTTGCCTCCCCCTCCTCGTCCTAGATCCGCTCCTTCCCTTGCTTCCTGTCCTCCTTCACCAACCATATCATTCACTTCACCAATTTCTTCTCATAGTCGTCATAATGTTCCTGCTGATGTTGAAGAATTATCAAATAGTCCAATTAATAATCATGATTATCATTCGGAAATTCATCCACGTCCTTCTTCTCCTGTTGAAACATTATCGCCTCCAAGAGCAAGAATTAACAATGCAGCAAAACTTACAAATCATCAACATAAAGATTCAACATCTAGTACACACTCAACTAATAGTACTTCAACCTCAAGACGAAGAACAAGATCAGGTTCTTTTGATAATTCTTTATCAATCAATACTTCTCTGATACAGAAGCAACAACAACAATCCTCTATAAATTATTCACCTAAAAGGTCTTCTCGTCTAGATAGTCATAGAGAAAGCATTCCAATTATGATGCCATCTTGGGGTGTAAGAAGTGCTTCTCCTACTTCACTGTTAAATCCTTTTGTTAGCTATACTTCGTTACCACCTCCACCACGTTCTACACGTACTCATCCACGTAGTGATCAAACAATACTTCCTAAATCCGTTAAATTATCTCATTTACCAAATCCACCTAAACCCCCGGAAGGTCCGAAACCCGTAAGGAATAGTGTACGAGTTTCTTCAATTGATCCTGATCGTCGTATAACTCGTAGTCCTCCAAATATTCCTTTACCTCAACCACCTCCTCGTCCAATAAATACGATAACTCCTGGTTCACGCGCTACTTCTCCAATACCTTCACATAAAAATAATAAACATGTAATACCTCCTCCACCATCTACACATTTGATATCATCACTAATACCTCCTCCTGTGCCACCACCAAGAAGGCCGGGTGCGGATAGACGAATTGGAGGAAAGGGATCTAGTTCTGATGCGGAAAATTTACCCCCAGAGAACATTAGCACTCACGGAAGGACAATGACGTTACCTGTTAATTTACCTTCGAATCCACATTCTTTCACCAAATTACCCACCAGATCAAAATCTCCTCCTCCTTCAAGGAATCATGTTACTTCGATGGTGTATTCTTCAAGTCCTTCAAGATTTCAAACTATGTCAGTTCATTTACCCTACTTTACTTTGCCTCCTCCAACACGTCCTCCTGATGTTCCTTTACCTCCTGTACCTAATCAATCTCCATCATCATCATCTACATCAAAAATAACATCGTCATTTATAAGTGGTGATAATGCAATTAATTCTCAGGATGTAATATCACCTTCATTACCTTCACCTCCAAGATCTATCGGATTTCCTGATGATGATGATTTAGATCCTGATTATGCTGATGAACTGGCCGCTTCAAGAACTCGTTCACAATTAATGAAAAGTTCAAGTGGCTTATCTAGTTCTGATACTACATATTTATCCGTAATATCAGGCGTAAAAAATAATAATTTGTTAGGTAATAATCTTCAACTATTGTCTGGTTCTGGATTAACTTTTGTCATGATCGAAGAAACTCTTGGTGATGGTGAAAAAGTATTAGATCTTCAAGATGTTAGTGAAAATCACCCTCATATTAAATCAAGATCATCATCTTATAGTAATATTCATAATGATTTCATACGTCATGATAAAGAGGCAAAAAATATAAGTAGAAAAAATTCTTTGGCGAATATAATGGATTTTGAGGGGAAAAAGAAAGGTATGGTCAAAAGTAAATCGGTAGAAGCTAATGCGATTAACGTTAACATTAATAGCTTCACATCTCCTTTGTCATCAATGACATAGAATTTAGTTTCCTCTTTATTTATTAATATTTATTTTGTATTTCTATTTATTAATCGGGTGGGATTTTTTATCTTATATCTTTCATGGCATTTATATATATATATAACAGCATTTTATTTATTATACACTATTTATATATCATGATCATTTTTATTTTTATTTGTAGAAATTTAATTATTATTATATATCTTTTTTTTTTTTTTTGTTTCATTAAGTTAACTATTTATTCTTGTATTTTTTGTATTAACTTTTTTTGTATTACTTTATAGTTCTTTTGTTATATTAGCATTTCTTTTTGTAATTTCGTTGTATAGAAAATTTTATTTTTAAACAAAAATTTTTTAGTTGCTTTTCTAAAAAAAAAAAAATAATCCTTTAAAAATATTTAGGCTTTTGTATTTTATCTTCAATTTTATATTTTGTTTTGTATTTCTTTCTGTATACAATAAATTACTTTATTAAAGGATTAATTTTATCTTGTATAATATATCTGAAAATTTCCAATACATATATATAATTTATTTATATAAAATCTTACAAATGAACTTAAAAAAAACGAGTCTAATTATTATTTATTAATAATTAAAAAATATTACAAAATAAAATTCAAATTATTATATAGGACCTTTGCAATAGAAACTGTCGAAAAAAATCAATTTTAATTTTATATGCTAAATATGATTTTTAGGTTAAAATATGTTCAAAATTAACATTAACTTATTTTTTATTTTTTTCTAACCAATTTTCTTTTTTTTATTATAAAAGTCTCATATAATACTTTTATAAAAAATTATCAAAAAAAAAAATTCAATTTACTTTTATATATTAAATATAATTTTTAGCTAAAATATATGTTTATTTATAATATATTATTTCATAATATTTTACTTTCAAAAATTATTTAAATTTGTTTTTCTTTTATATTAAATTATAATCTATTAAAAATTAAAATATGTTTAAATTATATGATAATTTATATAAATACAGTCGAAGTGGTCTATAATGAATTTCTATATTCTGAATTTCATGGTATTGCGAATCACATGAGTGGTACTAAATTATATATAGTTATATAATTTAAATAAACCGAATTTTTCTAATAAATTTTACTATAACATATAACGAATCAGTGATGTAATACAGATTATAGTAAAGTATAGTAAAATGATACTTGATTAAACGAATTTTTTCAATATCGAATTTTTTGTCAAAATTTTAAGGGCTATAACAAATTTTTTTTTTAGTAGTAAATGTATTTCTATGATAACTATTAAAGGAAATTTTACATTGTTTTTACATTATTAAATCAAACCGATCATAATTCTTGCATCATAAATTTTTTTGATAAATGTTTTATTCAAAAATGCTAAAAGACAAAAATACTCCTGAAATAAAAAGAACTAGAGCTTCTCTTACCGGTATTCAGAAAAAGGAAATTTGCTTAAAAAGTTTACAAAAGCCAAAACCTAAAAATAAAGAACTTGCTAAAGAATATGATGTGTCAGAAGGAATGATATGTGACATTTTAAAAGAGAAGAAAAAATGGTTAAAATTAAAATCAGAATCTTATGAAGCTTCACTTAAAAGACAAGTTAAAGTAAAATTTCCGCAAATTGAAGAGGCTTTAAGCTTCTGGGTTGAAAAAGCAATAGAAAATAATATTACCATTAATGGTGAATTATTGGCACAAAAAGCACATGATTTTGCAATATTGTTAAATAAACCAGATTTTAAAGGATTAGAAGGATTGGTAGTAGGTTTCAAAAAACGTCATAAGCTTGAATGTTACCTAAAACATAGAGAATCAGCAAGTGCTCCTTTAGAAGCTTTGGATGATATGCATAAAAATCTTCAAAGTATTCTTGCAAATTATTTACCAGATGATATTTTTAATATAGATAAAATTGGACTTTACTGGAAAATGGAACCAAATCGTACATTGTCAACTGGATCAGGTAAAAAATTAAAAATATATTTGATTAATATAATTTATTATAGATAATTATAAATAAACTAATAAACTAAATAATATTTACCTTAGTTGCAAAAAAAAAGCAATCTAAAAAACGTGTTACTGTTATGCTATGCTGTAATGCTTCTAGAACTGAGAAACTTAAAGCAGTTTTTATTAGAAAAAGCCAAAATCCACGTGCTTTAAAAAATGTTGTAAAATCATCTCTTCCAGTATACTATTATTGGAACAAAACAGCTTATATGCAAGTTAGTATCTGGAATGATTGGTTAAAAATTTTGATGCACGCTTACAACTTCAAAATCGACATATAATTTTACTCTATGATGGTGTATCTACTCATATTTTACATGAAGATACTACTCTTACCAATATTCAGCTTCATAAATTGCCTTCTAATACAACAGCACATCTTCAGCCATGTGATGCTAGAATAATTGGAAGTTTTAAGGTAAATATATGTTAATAAATTCATATTATAAGATAAAATAAAAATTAATATTAAATTAATATATACCTGTATATTTATTATATAGGCGCAGTATCGAAAACTTTTTTTAAAAAATCGTATTAAAGAATTTGATAATAGTTTGGAAACTGGTTAACCTATGTCTGAAATTACTATTAAAAAGGTAATTAAATATGTAGTAAAAGCATGGGATTCTGTTCAATCAGAAACAATTGTAAATTGTTGGAAAAAGACAGATATTCTTCCATATGATAATGAAGATATTGAAATTGATAATGAAAGTTCTTTTACTAATGATGATATTGATGATATTAATAAAATACAGGATCTTATTGACCAATTAGCTAAAGATATATACAAAGATCCAATCTTCACAGAAGAATATCTTTAATATGAAAAAGAAGAAAATATTCATCAAATGATAACTGATGAAGAAATTTTAAAATTTCTGAGAGAGCCAGAAGAAGATATTGAAGAAGAAGTTGAAGTTCCCATCATTGGCAATTATGAAGCATTAGCAGCACTTGAAAAAATAATTATGTATGTTGAACAAAAAGCTGAAAAAATTCAATTTCAAAAAGACCAAATTCAGGCAATAAAAAAATTGCGAAAGGCTATAGAACGAGAAGAATTTTATTCCAAGCAACAAGTTACCTTAGACTCTTTTGTAGGAATGGATTTGACAGGTGAGAAAAACGAATAGAAGTTTATAAAGTTTTATAGCAGGAAGGATTTTTTTTTTACCAATTTTGTCATTAAACCTCTCGAATATATAATAAAAATGATAATTATATTATAAATAATATACCAAATTTGTATATGATATTTGATATAACTATAAATGAATAAACTTAAAAAATTCGGTGAAACGTTACTGAATTCTTTTATTATAACAAATTGTGATCTCTGAAAATGGAGATTCGTTATAGATCACTTCAACTGCAATATTTTAATATATTTTCACATTTTTATAAGCTTTGATATAGTTTTACCTTTTTTAGAATTTTGTAAATTTTATTAAGATTTTAATATAATTATACTAAATTTTATCTTTTTCTATTTAGACAACTTACAAAACCTCTAAATTTTATTTAAAAATTTTATTTGTAAGTATTTTGTAAGAAGCAGGTATATTAAATAGTAGAGTATTTTAAAATAAAAGTATTATATCAGAAGTATATTATAAGAAGTTATAAATTACTAAATTAAAATTATCATATAATAGCTAATCTAAATAATAATATATATATATATAGTCAACTCTTGATATAGCGAACTCTTGATATAACAAATTTTTTAAACAAATATAATAAAAATACTCTTATTATAGTAAATTGATCAATCAAATCTTTTAAACTCTTCAATATAACCTTATAGCAAAGTTAAGGTTTAGAATATAGAGTTTATTATAACAAAAATTGATTGTATTATATATATTCAGAAAATCTTTTTAAAATACTAATTTGTAATTTTTTATTTACAATATATTATTTTACTATATATTTAAATATTCTATTTATTAATTTACATAAATATATAGTAATTTATTTATTTGTTAAATAGATTATTATAGCTTATCCTTTTTGTATTTATTAACAATAAATATTATAATTTTTATAACTATTCTAAATAAAATTTTTTCTTATTTTTATTTTTTTAAAAAAAAAATTCAAACATTTTTTAATTAATTAATACTAATACAATATAATATTTTTTATTTTTTTTACTTATTACTTTTGTAAAATACAAATAAAATAAATATTTGAATTAATATATATGTATATATAAAAAAATTTTTAATTTTTACATTTTTTCTTCAATTTTATTTTATATTTTATTTCTTTACAAAATTTTATTACAAATTTAAAAAATGATTATTAGAAATTTTAAAATTTATTATTAAGATTACTTATTTAAACTTGATAAAATTTCACCTTTTTTATAAATTTTAATATAATTTTACTTTTTTCTAAGTTTTGTAAAATTTTTAATAAAGTTTTAATATAATTTTACTAAATTTTATTTTTATCATTTAAATGATTTTTAAAATTTAAATTTTATCTAGTAATTATACTTATTATATTAGATATTAGAAAAAAAAATGATAATGATCAGTAAAAAAAAAAATTAATAATAATTACTTATTATAAAAAATTATAAAAAGAAGTCTATTAATAAGAAATTTAGTATTAATGCTAAAATAATTTTGTAAATAGATTACAAATTTTTATATATAGTATTTTATATCTAAAAATTAAATATAAGTATATATCACAAATATTCTTTTCTTAAAAAAAACTTATAAAATAACTAAAGTTTATTATTTAATAAAAAATATATTATTATAAATAAAATATTTAAATATAAAAAATATAAAATTTTTATAAAATTAAATAGATAAATTTATATTTTAATATAATATAAATAACAAAAGAAAAATTACATTATATAATAACTTCTAAAAGATTATATAAAATAATAAAGTTAATTTTTTCATATATAGAAAGCAATTAGTAAAAAAAAGGAAATTCATTTTTTAATCAAAAAATTTTTTTATTAGTTTACTTTACTGATCATAATTATGTAAATAAAATTAGCTTAATAACTAAAATTACTTAAAAATTTTCCATTTTCTATTGACTGCCTCCCTATATTTTATATTTAAGAAAAAAGTATAATTACCTTTGTTATTAATTAGAAATATTAATAAGATCCTTATTTTTATAATATAAATATTAAATAATTAATTCTAAAATAGTTTCAATTTTATTAACTAGTTATGAATAATAAATTTTATAATTATATTAATTTATTATATCAATAAATTTAATAATTTAAAGTATTATATAACTTCTATATCTTATAATCTTATATAAGATTACGAGTTTATTAAAAAACTTATATATTATAGTACTTTGATATTTTATAATATATAATATTTTGAAAGTTTATGATATGTAAACTTTCAAAAATTTATAATATGCAAACTTTCAAAGGTTTACAATATGTAATATAATAATATTATAGTAATTTATATATTAATAATACATAATACATCAAAAGTATAATGCATACATAATTTATATAATTAATTTATTATAATATTATCTAAATTTATACTTTATAATTATTGACACTTAATTTATAAAATTATACAATTTAAAATTTATTTATTTATTAAATAAAATATATTGTATATATTAATAATAAAATACAATATTTATAATAATAAAAATCTTCTTAATATAATATAAAATATAAAAAAAATATTATAATTAGTAATATTTAAAAAATAATTAGTAATATATACTAAAATAAATGAAGTTCATAGTATTAAATAATATATATTTAATGTTAAAAATAATAAAAAATAGATATAATTAGTAATGTAAAAATGTTATAAATAAATAGAATAGATATAATTAGTAATATAAAAGAAATGTATATGTGTTGATATTAATATAAAATTCTATAATTATTTTAAAAAAATTTTTGAAATTTCAAATTTAAAAAAAAAATTTTTAATACTAATTTCAAATAAATTTTATATTACAAAGTACTTAATTTTTACTATAAAATCTTTAAATTAATATTTAAGTTTAAACAATAAAAGTTTTTTAAAGATTATATTAAATAAAATAAAAATTAAAAAAAAATATAATGATGGTTAAAAAAAATAATTATCAGTAATATTAATTGTATAATTGTAATTAATCATTAAATTACATTATGTAAACTTATACAAACTGTAAAATTTGCGATATTCTTTAATTATAGTATTTCATAAATATTATAAACAGTAATTCACTCTTGTAATTTTTTGCAAAATATTATAATTAGTAAATAGTATGAAGTACTACCTTCTGTAGATTTTGCAAATATTATAATTAATAAATAATAATAAGTACTATCTTCTATAGCTTTTTATAAATATTACAATTAGTAAATATTGTAAAATATTACTACTTTTTATAGCTTTTTGCAAATATTATAATTAGTAAATAATGTGAAATACTACTCTCTGTAGCTTTTTGCAAATATTATGATTAATAAATAATATGCAATACCACTTCTATATTAGTAAATAATGTGAAGTACTATGCTAAAAATGTAAATTTTATATAATCTTATACTGTATAATTTATATAAATTTATAAATTATAAATCTATATAATACTTTATATTAAAAATATTCCTGATGTAATAAATAGTATAAAACTTATTTTTAACTCAAAAAAATTTTACAAGAAGAATTTTCTAATTTTATAATAATTTATTAGAATTCTAAAAATTAGATAAATGATTTAGTTAATAAATATTTAGACAAGCATTTACAATAACAAAATAATTCACATTTATTTTTAGTTTTAAATTTTTTTATTAATCATAAACTAATTTTGTAAAAACTAATTATAAAAAAAATTTAACTATTATTTTAGATAAATTAATTTTATGATTACAGCCTTTAAATATATTTTTAATAAGTTATTTAAAGTAAAAATAAGATATCTTTATAATCATTAAATATATAAAGCTATTAAAGATTATATTTCATTAGAAAAAATTAAAAGACTTTCTTATTTATTTATTGCAAATTAAATGAAGAAAAGCTGAAAAATCTATAAATATTAATATAATTAGAATATTATTTAAGTATTATAATATTTAAATAATTTAAATAGAATAGAAGATAATCAAATTTTGATTATATTAATTAAATAAAAAAATCTTAAAATTGAAAAAAAAGGAGGATAATAATGAAAATAATAAAAGAAAATTAGAGGATAATTATTATTAAAAATACAAGAAGCAAAAAATAATTTATAATAAAATTAATAATTTTAATATTATAATTTATTTTCAATTTTTTTTGTAATAATTTGTATTTTTTTGTAATTTACATGATAATACATATTAATAATAAATATCTAAAGTAATGATAATTAGAATTTTAATCAATTATTAAGATTTTAATTAATCAGATTTTAATTCACTTTAAATTAATTTCAAATTTAATAGAAAAAATAAATATTTTATAGAAAACTATTAAGAAATAGTCATAAAATTATATATTTTAGAAAAATCAATTTATTATTAATATTTTTATAAATAAATTATCTGTTATATAAATTAAATAACTTAACTTTAAACATATTATTTATAAAATTAATTTAAATTTTATTTCTATAATTTATAAAATACTTTAATTTATTTAATTTAAAATTAAATTATATTCAAGTTTTGAACTAAAAAAATTTTTTATTTTTAATAAAATACTTAGATATACTATAGATAAATAAGAATTTTTTAAGCAATACTTTATGATAATTATAAAATAAAGAATATAAAGCTTGTGTAAATATAAAATAAATAAGTCTTATCTAAAAAAAAAAAAAAATTTCAAAATTTATAAACTTATTTAATATTATAAAATACTAAATTTATATAGATTTATAAAATTTATTATTAATATTCTAATATTTAAAAAACAGTATTTGAAAAATTTACAGCAAAATTTATAATAAATAATTTATATTATTATTTAAAATAATATAAAAATAAAATAAAATATTATATTATATTATATTATTTATTTTTTCTTTATAAAATTAAGTTATTATAAAATAAAATAATAATAATTTTAATTATTCAATTAAAAATAAAGTTATAAAATTTTGATTAATAAATTTGAAAAATATTATTTTTAAAAATATAATATATTTATTCAAATATTTTTTAATAATAAAATATAAAAATAAAATTTTATTATTATAATAAAATTTTAATATAAATCATTTTAATAAAAATTAGATGATACATTTTAAAAAATTTTACAATTTTTTATTATCAATTTATATTACTTTAAATTAAAGATTTATTAATTTAAAATCATAATAAACTAAAGTTGAATTAATTAGAATCTATTTAAAACTAAATTTTTATTAGTCTAAAAGATTTGAAATTTAATTTTGAAATTGAATTTTTAAAGCTAAGATCTAAAACTTTAACAACTTTAAATTAAAGTATTTGTTATATTAATCTAAAATTATTATTTATAATTTCTTTTATAGAAATTTATATTATATATTCTCTTAATACAGATTACAAAAATTTTAAAATTAAATTTAATCTATTTTTTACTAATAATTCTTTTTTATAAAAATAGCGAAAAATGAAACACAAATTTTTTATTTTGTAAAATCTATTTTATTGTATTAATAGTTATACATTTTATTTGATTTTTTTAAATGGTATTTACTTAAAATCACCAGGGGTGATCATCACCAGTATCACGTGATAATAATATTTATGTGACATTACGTGTATGACATGTGATACAATAATAGACAAAAAGTGTTACATATTTGCTGCTCTTTCGTTCACTTTTCTTTTACAAATTTAACATACAGTCAACTCTTGTTATAACGAACTCTATGTCCTAGACCTCAACTTCGCTATAAGGCTATAGTGAAGATTTTAAGAGATTTGATTGGCCAATTCGCTATAACAAGAGTATTTTTATTATATTTGTTCAAAAAATTCGTTATATCAAGAGTTCGCTATAACAAGAGTTGACTGTACATTCTTTTTGTATTAATGATAATGGAAAAACTAATTTAAGAAGAAGAAACTTCTTTAGAAAGTTGCTTTGACGTGGATTTCTAAATTTTAAGCCTTTTTTTTTTCTTATTCTTTGTCTTTAATTTACGTTTTTTACCACTATAGATGGTAAATGTAAACTCTCATAAGACTTGCTGTTTCTTATGACTTTTGTATAAAAGTTTATGATTTATGTTTTTTTTTACCGAAGACAATTAAACTTATTTAAGCAAAAAAAAAAGAGTCTGCTGCTTTTATCAAAGGTTTTGTTGCCTTTGTTGAAAATTCTAGTGGCTCTGTTATCTTTGCTGGAGATTCTATATCCTTTGCAAAGGATTCTAATACTACATTTGCTGAAGGTTCAGTTGTTTTTGAGAATGATTCTAATACCAAAGGTTCTATTGTTCTTGTTAGAGAATTCGATACTTCTAGAAAAGAAATTGAAAATGAAGTACAAATTAATGTTGGTGATACTTTTCTTCATGGGATGAGGTAGATATAAAGCTCAATCTATATGCAAAAACAGTAGGATTTTCTATACATCAGAAGCGCATTAAGCTTGATAATAATGGGATAGTTTGATATTATATATTTGAATACAGTTTTTCCAGTAAACTAATTTCTAATCAGGTGATTGATATAAATTACTAATGGCAGCGTTCATTCAGAAAAATAATATGCCCATGGCACATTAATATTACAAATCTGAAGTCATCATCAGAAATAAGAGTTAATAGCATCATTGAACAACATAATCATCTTATGATATCCGATACATATTTATATACTTCTAAGTACCGTTATCTTTCAGATGATATAATAGAAAGGATCAAATTCTATGTTACCAAAGGAAATATAGGTTCAAGACAAATATATCCCTTATTGGTTGCAAGTTTTCCAGATCAATATATTCATAAAGGGATCTTTACAATGCAATTTAAAGGTTTAAAGTCTCATTTACTAACTGATATGGAGATGCACAAAATATGATCAATATGTTACTTAATTTAAAAGATCAAGAATCCGGATGGATCATTTACAGAATTGATCTTTTTGATAACTGACTTGTAAGTCTGTTTTGGATATCGTCTAATCAGAATCAATGCCTTATACGCTATAATGATATGGTACAAATGAATAATATGTATCAAACTAATTGGTTTGACATGTATTTAATAATGCTAATTATTGTGAATAATAACACCAAAAGTCGTCTTGTTGTTCAATGTTTATCAGAAGACGAAACAGTTGAAAGCTATGAATAGTTCCTTGACTGTGTTCTTCACGTAACTAATTATATTTCACCTACTTGTTTATTTTCAAATTCTGATCCTGCTTTAATGAAGGCAGTAGCATCGAAGATGTCTAATACTCATCACTTTCTTTGTATTTTTCACATACAAGAAAATCTACGAAAAAATTTGGTAAGCAAATTAGAATAAAATTACAAATCTTTATATAAAGATTTTTTACATACTCGAAACAGTTTATTTGAGAATAATTTTTATCATCATTAGATATGATTGATCGAAAAGTATCCTTTGGCTCAAGATTATCTTAATAGAACTTTAAATACTTCTTATCAGTCATAGGCCAGGTGTTATCAATTCAAAGACTTTATGGCTAGCATTTAAAGCATACAAAGGGTCAAAGTTATGAACTGTTTGATTAAAGAAGATGCTAATAGTTCATCTTCGCTATATAACTTACATGATCAAACACAAAGATTATTAGACGATGAAGCAAAATAAGCTCAGTATAATATATATCTTCATAGTCTTCCAACTAACCAGGCACCATCAATTATCGATCTCATATTTTCCAATATTAATAAATTAATAAAATGTTATCTAACTCTGCATATCCTATCAGTCCAACATCAACAACTTCTCAGGTCTTTATTATACTGTGCTAAAATTGTTTTGAAAGAAGCAATCGATATTATAAAAGTAAGTTATATTAAAAGCAAAAAAAATGTTGAAGACAGGATTAAAAAATTAGAAGATAGGAAAACTTGACACTTACAAATTTTTTATTAGAATAATAATCAGCACAACTATGGTGATAGATTTCTCGAAGATCAATTAGATAGACTGCAAACATCTATTTTTTTCCTATTAGAAAGAATCCAGTTATCCAATATCATAGAAATTTGGAAACTTACCAGTCTTACCAAATCACATAAGCATTATATTATTTACTGATAGATAGTGGTCATTTATGCATGTGTTTGGCTATAATTAATCGCAGACTTGTATATTCGCATTTTTTCCATGTGATGATGAATTCTAAGGTCGCAAAATTTAACATATATCTTATTGCAAAGCAATGGTATCTAGAAGATATTCAAGATAGAGATGATCAAAATAATTTGCAATATGAATATATGGAAATAGAAACACAATTCTAATAAGATAGTAATAGTAATTATGAATTATTAGTAGCTGATTTACATATTTTTAATCAGCTTAGAGCACCAGATACATTCACAGTTGATATTAAACAACACATACAAAGAAAAGAAAAATATGCATATGGGTTTAAAAAGATAAAAAAAGCTTTTAATTTGGCGTTAGATTTAGGTTATGAAACTGAATTTATTGATATAATTAATAAATTTATCAATCATAAGAAAAATGATATCGATGATATGAATAAAATAAAGAAAATTTGAGCGTGTCTGATCCTTTAGTTTGAAAATAGCGTAAATATCTACCACATAAATATATCAAATCAGCATTAAAAAATGCACACTATAGTACTAAAATTAGTGCTCTTAATCCACCTGATCCTAATTTACAATCTTCATCAAGAATCCTTTACACACCTATGATGTTAGCAATTATGGACAAGATAATGATCATATGGTACTTAATGATATAGGTGAAAATATAAGCAAATAAAAATATATATGCAAAGTTTGTAAGGAATCCGATCATAATGCTAGAAATAAAGCAAAATGTGTCAAACAGGATCAGTAATAATAATGTATTGCTTTAAATAAAAATTTGATATATATATATTTTTTTTAATAAAATATATTGAAATACGTAACTTAGTATGATCACATGACTTAATATGATCACGTGATATCAGTGATGATCACCCCCAGTTGAGTTAGTAAAATTCTTTTTAAATACATAATTAAAAAAATTTTATTAAAAATAACAAATTATCAATATTTAAAAATATAATATATTAATATTTACTATTATAAATACTTTAAATTTTTAAAAAAAACTACTATATATAAAGTTATAAAAAACTAATAAAATAAAACTATCTTTATATTTAGACTACAAATTAATTTATTGAATAAAATACTTGTTATTTTGTTTACTTATTAAAAATAATAAAAATTCTTTTTAAACTTTTTAACTAACAAATTTATTGAGTTAATATTTATTAATGTATTTTTATACTATATAATATTATTTATAGTGTAGCTATTAAGATCATGTTACTTGTCAATTTAGATATATTGATTAAATGCTAATATATCAAATAATGCTATCTTTCAATTTTAGTTATATTAGTTAAACATTAATATATATAAGCTAAACAATTCTATTACTTTTGATATTATTATTATTAATTATATTGTATACAATATATATATTATTTTTATTATTTGTAATGAAGCAATTAATTTAATAAATTTATTTTTCATTAACTGAGTTAATAATTCAGCTTTTGCCAATAATTTAAAATTGATCAAAATTTATATTAATTTCTAATTTATATAAGAAATTACTAGATTTATTTAGTTTTAATAGTTATTTTGAAAGTGGTTGATTATAAAAAACTTTAGTTTATTTTGATATTACTTAATAATAATAGAATTTTTTTAAAATAAACTTACCAATATATTATTAATATATTAAACTTTACTTACATTTAAATGCAATTATAAATTCACTATTTTCTTATTAAAATTCTTTATTTACTATAATATTATTCTTTAAGTTAATAATTGATCTATAAAAAAAATAAAAATATAGTAAATTTATTTATTTAAATTAAATGTAATTGATTTACCTATTATACTTATTTATTTTACATTTCTGTGAATATGATTCATCATTTTAAAAATTATTTCTATTTATTTATTATCAGTTAGTAATATATATAAGCCCAATCTTTTTTTAGAATGATGATGAGACTGTAGTTGAATATTTTTGATAGAATTTTTATTGTTTTTAGTAATTGTACAAGATTTTTTTTAGCTAGTATAAATAGTTTATTTTTCTATTTTTCAAATTAATCTTAATATATTGACAAACTGATTTTATAAAACTTTTGATTCTTTTTGTTTCAATGTAATTTTTTTAAACTAAAATGCCTGAATATAAAGCTATAAATATAATAAAGTATTAATAATTTTAAAAAGAAATTAAAATTAAATTAATAAAACTTATCAAATTCCTCATCTACTTCTTGTAAATAAAATTCATAATCAGCTTCATATGATCGTAATAATAGATATTTATTATAAAGAGAAAAATATCAAAATAAAATAGAAGTAAAAGTTACTCAGCTTTTTTTGTCTTAATTTTAAACTACATGAATTAATTTTAAAATGATATATTACTAATATACAATCTTGTCAAATTATGACTGTTAGATGAGATATTTAAGTAGTAATTTTTTTAAGTTTACGTAGTAAATTTCTATATAATTTTTACCTAAGCTTTATAATTTATACGTCAGTGTATACTCAACAATACTAAAAGTACTAAAAGTATGATAACTTAATTGATTCAAAGTTATAATAATATGTTTATTTATGATAAGAAATAATAAAGAAATAAGAAATAAGAAAATAAGAAAAGAAATAAAAAAAGCTAAAAGAACTAAAATACTAAATGCTAAAGTTAGGCCAGGTGCCTCTAAAAAACTACTAAGGATGTATCTAAAAGTAAATTAAAAGGAAAACTAAAGTGAACTAAAAGCGAACTAAAGTTTACATAATTTTATCATTTTCTATTTATACTAAATTTAATACATAGATAGATATAACAAATAAATTAAATGTGTTTAATATATCAAATATATCTAATATGTCCTATTTATTTAATATCAGTTATGTTAGATTTATCAAATATATCCTATATGTTAAATATATTCAATATGTTTGACATTTAGATCTGTAATATATTGCATCACATTCATCAATCCAATCTGATTATAATATTAAAATTATATAACTTCTATTCAAATTTTTAGTAAAATTATTTGTTTTTATTTCAGAATTTTTTCCTTCTCTAAATTCAAAGTATATTATATTACAGAAAAATCTCTATAAAATAAATTTGTAGAAGTATATCCATTGAATAATGAATGATTTAAAATATCGATATCTTCTATATCTTTAATACTTTTATTAAATCCTTGACTTTTATAAGAGCTTTTTAATAAACTAATCTAATTATTTATGAAAATAACAGTATTTTTTATTTTAGAAAACTTTTAATAAAATTTAACATTTATTTTGAAAGTTTTTTTGTAATTTTAAGTGTAGTATTATGTGAAAAAATAGTTTCATTTAACATGAAATAATTATAATCTAAACTATTTATAAATGAGACGCATAGTAAATAATAGTATTATTATGTGAGTTTAAACTATAATACAATTATTAGGTAAAGGAAAATATTACATAACCTGAAATGTTTACATTTCAGTGATATAATATCCCCCCTACTCAATAATTATAATTTATATAAAAAGGATATTATAGTCATATTGTTAAGAGAAAACTTTTTGCAAATGAAAAATAATTGTAAAATATATTTTAAATAGGTATAAGAATAAAAAAAAAGTAGAATTTATTATTTGAAGTGATGAATCATAGTTTAAAGTATTTAATAAAAATATAATCAACTCTTGTTATAACAAACTCTATATTCTAGATCTTAACTTTACTATAGATTTTAAGAGATTTGATTAGTCAATTTGCTATAACAAGAGTATTTTTATTATATCAAGAATTCGCTATATCAAGAGTTGACTGTAGTTATAATTATATTTAAAGAAACTTAAAGAAACATATAATTTAATTTTTATTTTTAAATCAGGTTATAAAGGTATAATAGTTTTAATTATTTTAGATTAGGTTTTTAGTCTATATTTTATATATTAATATTTTAAATAATCATTTATTACTTTATTTAGAAGGAATAATTAATAAAATAATTATATATTTCAATAAGATAATATTTCAATTCATCAAGCAACTATAACTTTATAATAAATTTTACAAAATAATTAACTTTTTGGTTTGCATAGAATTCTAACCTTAATCCTATTAAAATATTTGAAATGAATTAAATATTATGTCTATAAGCATATTTTTTTGCCAAAAAATAATCAGAATTATTTAAATACTATAAAAAATAGATTAAAATAAATGTTTCAATTATCAAAAATTGGTCAAAAAGTATGTTATGATATATTCAACTTAAGTTAAAGTTAAAGATATTTATATGATATTAATTGGTTTAAATAAAATTTAATTGATATAATTTTCAAATAAAATTCAAATAAAAAACATATATATACTTTACAAAAAGATTTGTAATATTATGTGATTTTATAAATTATAAATTAAAATTCTAATCAAAATTAAGATAACAAAATATTTACTTATTTACATAACATTATTTTTAGTATGATTATATAAAGGTCTGATTAATAAATAAAATTTTTAGTGTCAACTTTTGATTCGTTATTTGATAATCATAAGGATGATCATTTAGCACGTGATAAATAAACAAAGTTAATGGAACCTTCCAATAAAAAAAATAAAAAAATAAAACAATAATTAAAATTCCTTTAATAGATTTTTAATGTTTGAATTTTCAATATAACATATCTCTTTATCATGAAAAAAAGATTTTCCTGAAAAGATATATGTTAGTTCATTCTTAAAACATTATATTTTATAAATTTTTCTTTTGAATAGAAAAAGGTAAGAAACAATAATCTATTATTATTCCCGAATGGACAAAAGATGAATAATAGTAGCGATTAATATTTGATTAATAATAATTATTATTATTCTTTAGATAAAAATTTACTCTTTATCGAAAAACATCGGTGTTTCTGAAACTAGAATTATCTTTCAAAGCGTCGTTATGAGTTTTATACTCCATAATAGTATCAGCGGGCAAATTCAAAACCTTTTTCATCGTATCTCTAAAAAAGAGAGAAAAAAAAAAAAAAGGAATTTTTAAAATAAATCAAAGAAATTCTTTTTTAGGAAAAAAATTTTTGTCAAAAGCTAACCTTATTTTTAAATTAATCCTTCCTTCATGTGCAGACTGATTCCACAGGGACAAAATATCCTCCGAACTGCGAATGGACAGCACCGCACCGCAAATTTCCGTGCCAACATCAAATTGATCGCCAATTACCGCCATTACCTATAAATTTTACAAAGAATTCTGTTAATAATCAAATATTTTTTAATATTTAAATCACAGGATAATTAAAAGTATATAACTTACCAAACTCTCCCAATATCGACTTGCCAAACCTTTCTTTAACCTCACAATCCACTTACCGCCATTAATATTTGTATCATCCTATTAAAAATTAAATAAAAATAAATAATTCTTTTAGAATATTCTTATAAATAGATATAAAAATAATTAAATAATCATTATTTCATAAATAATTTTTTCATAGTTCCTGTTTTTTGATTTTTAATATGAAAAATTTTATCATGATAATTAGATATTTTATTAAAATATAAAAATAATTAAATATTAAATAAACACAAACCTCCCAAACAGGTCTAACACCTTGTTTAAAAAGATGATAATCACTAATATTAGGTAACTCATTGGGTCTTCGAAGATGACTATAAACTGCCCAGAAATCTTCTATCTAACATCAAGTAAAATAAAGAAATAAATATATTGTATTCATTTAACAAATTAACTGAATAAATGAACAAGGAATGGGAATGAAAGAAGAAAAAACGTCCATACTAGATTTCGATAGACTCACCGAAGAAAATGCTGCAATCTTTTTCATAGAACTCTCGTAATTTAGTATCTTACTCCCAGGACTACGATGCATAAACCAGAATACCCAAGTAAAGTGCAAAGGGTGAATCTCACTAGTGGGACTCGGTGTGAATTGTTGACGCGGCAATGCCAAACCATTACTACTATTCCCATTTTCTTTTTCTTTATTATCCTTATCCTCTCCTACTACACTGCCCGTAATACTCAAACGATGTTTAGCAAGATAACCGCCTCCACCGCTACTGCTTCCCAACCCAGAGCCCATTCCCAGGGGCGTTGTTGGTGCTAGAAGAACAGCGGAAGCGGAAATATTTCCAGTAACTCCATTTGGTGAATTTGTGCGTTGAAGTTGGATGAGTTTTGTTGACGCTGTTGAAGTTGGGGTTATTGCTGTAGGAGTCGTGGTTGTGGTGGTTATAGAACTATTGCTATGGTCAGTGTTAACAGTTAACCGATTGCTATTTTATAAAATATTAAAATATTAGGAAATTTTGTTTAGTTATATTATATAAAAAGAATTCTTGATTTTAGATCAACTACAAATTGCTTTATAAAGTTTAAAAGGGAAATTCTAACCACCAAAACCAAGGCTACTTTTCATACCTGCGTTTGTTCCACACAGATTCCATTCCTCTTTTTAATATTATACTACTGAAAGCTTTATTTTAGAAAATAATCAATTTATTTAGGGGTGTATTTTGTAAGTGAAAGGAACAAAGTAAAAATAAATTACAAGTTTTTTTAAAGATGGTAGTTATCGAAGTAAAGATTTTTTTTTTTTCGAAAATAATCAAAATAACAATTTCGCTTTTTTTTTTTTTTTTTTGATACTTTTTTGTGTCTTCGCCTCACATCATTGTCCTGATGTGAGGCTAATGACTAATTTCATTGGTTGGAAGATCATTAAACATCACGCGTCATCCTTGACACAAACCATTTTTTTTCCATTAAACTATTTGAATTTGAATCCAGATATAGAACCAGCTGTTGAATTACTACCTTGGATAGATACATCAATAAAGATTAGACCAGCATTTAATCACATCTGGCGCAGCATTTTCATGTTCAATAAAAACAAAACCGATAAAGTGAGCATGCATCATCACGTGATTACGTGTGATTATATAAATGAAAATCAGTTTGCATACTTTTTTCTTACTGTATTTCTAGGAGTTTTGTTTATATTCGGTTTCTTTTTAGTAAATGGCCAGGGGAAGACAAAAGGTATATTGTTATGTTACTTTTGTAATGTTTTATTTAGGGTTATAAGTATTTATGTGTATTTGCTCTTTTGTCGACAGGAACAAGCTAGGTAAGCTTTTATTAATTTATTTGACCGTCAATATATTTTATTTATTTATTTATTTATTAGAGAAAAGGCTCAGAAACAAGCCGAAAATAAAAACGGAGGTAAATCTCAATTAGGTGCTCGTGCTGCGGGTTTGCAATTAAAATGTCCCGTTTGTAAGACCCCTACCGCTAATTACAAAGTCATCGTCCAACACATGGAGGTAATATTAAATATTTTTCGGGACTAAAAAGAAACTTTAGATAGCTTAAGTTTCGTTTGCAATAATTTTTTTTTTGATTTCCCACTTTTTTTTATGTCACATTAGGCAAAACATCCTAAAGAACCCATACCTCCCGAATCAGCTTTCCAATGAAACCAGCTGATGATATCATTCTAATAATTTCTCTTTCTTGAAATAATTGGACAAATTGACTTGGAGGGTGTTTTATTTTATTTTATTTTATTTTAGCTAACCAATGTGAAAACTACAAATAAGTTGATGTAATGGTATAAATTGTCGTAGCATTTATATTTTACCTGGTGTTTTATATATATTATATATATATTTGACAAAAAATAATAAAATTATATATTATGATTTGTTTTATAATAGTATAAGATTTTGTTTATTATTGTTACAATTTCGTAATATATAAATTTTGTTTAAATTGCAATTTCGTTAATGTATAAATTTTGTTTAAATCGCAATTTCGTTAATGTATAAAAAAAAATATATATATATATATATTATAATGACAATTATTTTTTAAATAATTTTTATGAGCCCCTTTTATTAACGGGTTGATTCCTTGGTGTAGTTGGTTATCACATCAGCCTAACACGCTGAAGGTCGCCAGTTCGATCCTGGCAGGAATCAAATAATTTTTTTTTTTTTCCTGCGACTTCGCATATTATGCGCAGCAAATACAAATTTCAAACTATCATTATGAAACTATTTTATGAAAAATACATTCAAAAAGTCATGTAGTTCTTCAGATTAACCAAAAACTAATTATTTAATTAAAATTCTTTTCTTTAAATAGATCTTTTGTAATTATAATAAAGACCTTCATTTTTTTTTAGTTTTGAAATTCTTCTTAATTATTAGTAATTTTATTTGATTTTTTTTAATAATTTTTTAATTATATTACTTTTATTATAAACATTTTTATAATATCTTTTTTCATTAATAGATATTTTAATAAATTATTTCAATTAAAGTATACATATTTTTAGATATTTTATTAATTAAATAATTTAATTTAAATTAAATTTAATTTTAATATAAATAAAATATTAATTATTTCAATTATTAATTAATTATTTGTAAATAATTAAATTACTTAAAATTTTAGTTTGATTATTAATTAAATTATATAATAATTTTTTAATTTTTAATTTAATTATATAAATCATAATTTTAAAAGATTTTGCTAATTTGCTTCCCAAATGAAATCACTTATGTGATATAAAATAAGTGACAAATAAAATTTCTCTAAGTTTTCTAATTAATTATTAAAATGAGAATAAAGGAGTGTAAGATGTTATAATAAATAAATACTAATTCTAAACTTAATCCTAACAAACATTAATTTTAAGCCTAAACCTAATTCTAACAAACTCTAATTGTATGGGTAAGTAAAATTTTACATATAATCATTTGAAAAAAATCAGTTTTAATTATTTTAAAATTACCTTTTAATCAAATATTTATTAATTTATAAAATTAAAGTTATAAAAAATTATTATTAATTTTTAATTAAAACTAATCATATTGGTTAATCAAAAAATCTTTCAATATTTTTTAAGGCATAAAATAAACAAAAATAATGATATATTATTTTACTATAAATAGCTAATTAATTTAACTTTTTGTATTATATTATTACATTATTAAAAAGTATTAATACTGCATATAATTAAATTTTTTTTTTGAATTTTTTCATATTATTTGAAAAGGATCATTATATTTTATTCAAAAAATTTAAATTTGATATATATTGATTATTTTAAATAATTCACGCATAAGAAATTTTTTTGTAAAAGACATTATTAAAAGATAAAAACTAATAAAACTCCTTTACTAGTTAATAAAAAACCTATTAAAATTTATAATTATCCTAAAGAATTTATTATTTAATATTCTAATTCTGAATGAAACTATATTTATAATATTATTAAAGAAGAAAATTATCTATAACTAACTTATTTTAAATATACAAAAGGTCAAAAAATTTTTTAAATTTTTGATAATTATGAAATTAAAACTAATTTGAGAAACCTAAAACAAGATAATAGTTAGATGTATAGTTAAATATATAAAAAAAAAAAATACAGTTTATTAGATATATTATAGAAATAAATTTTAATATTATATAAAGTTATAAAAATTGAGTTCAAATGTAATATATTTATATGTTAAAGTATGTAATTATTTATAATAGTAATTAGTAAGAATTTTATTAATATAAATATAATTTATTATTTCTTATAATAGACTTTAAATTCTAAAATTAAGACTTATTATTTTAGACCTTATTTTTTGATATTCACTTAAAAATATTTTGATAAACAAAAGATACTCATCAGTAAGCAATAGTATTGAAATTATTTGACAATTTAACTTTAACTAGATAAAATAATCAAACTAAAAAAATTAGTAAGTCTGTATTAATAATTTTGATCAAACAATAGATAAAAGTTATTATTTAAGTAATAATCTTAAATTAAAGATAATCCTTTTTACTTAGATTTTAATGAGAAAAATTATGAAGAAATAAAATATAAAATAAAAGCTGCTATTTAAGCATATGATAAAGATTAGGTAATACGTAAAAATTATCAAACTTTAGTTTCAATCAGTTAAAATCTACTATGTAAATAGAAAGTTTCTATAAAAAAAAATGATTATATATAAAATGAACGAAATTATATCAACCTTACTTATAAATATAATACTATTATAATCTAATAATTCTGTAAATTTAGAAATACATATTAAATTTATAATAATTTATAGCAATCAATTAGAAAAAGTAAATGAAGAGATATTATTAATATTTTAAAATATTTAATATTAGATTTTCTTAAAAAAAATGTATTAAATATAATAAATTCTATAATATATTTATGAATTTTAATGATAATAAAAATATTAAACAAAAGATTAAAAAGATTATAATTACCTATTTAATTCTTAATGATATTGATAATATATAGTAACTTAAAAATTATTATTTCATAATCAAGATAATCAGAATATAAAATAAAAAGTTAAATTTTACTTCTTATTAAAATTGAAAATTTTTCATAATATGCATAGAATTAAATATAGCAAATAGTAAATATTCTTGTCTATGGTATTATGTATCTAAAGAATAACAAAATAATTTCTGATTATACATTTTATAAGAATCATATTCAATTAGCAATTTTTGATATTATTCCTTTACAGAATTGGGTTTTAGATGAATTACACATCATATTATGTATTATATATATTCTTTAATGATTGATAATTAATAAACTTAAATCTAGAAATCCTTAAAGAGATAGAGCAAGAAATATAATAGTTAAAAAAATAAAAAGTATCAATATTAAGTTTTATTTTTACTTAAAATAAGATCAACAAATTGACAATATACATTTTTAATAAGATAAGATAAATTAATTGTACTTCAATATTTTGATTTAACCAAACTTTTAAATTTATAAATAACTCAAATTTGAAATTTGCAAAATAATTTTTATTCTTTATAAAGTAATAAGAGTTTCAATTTTTTAATAATATGTAAGCATAGTTGTATTAATTTTTAGATTCTAATTACTTTTATCAAGCATATTACCCTTATATATATATATATATTAATATATCACATTTCAGAAATAATGCAAATTTATTACATTTTTAGGTTAGTAATATTTTCTTGTTCAGAAGTTAAAAAAAATCATCAATAAGTTTCTCATTTTTTTAAAAAAATAATAAAAGATGATGGTATTAAAAAAGAAAAAAAATCTGCAATTGTAGATATTCTTAAATATAAGAATAGAGTTTTATATTTTAATAATTATAATAAAATTGATATAATTCATTTATCAAAATGTTTACATGTTAAATAATATTTTTTATAAAAAAGATAATTTTTTATATTATTTATAAAGTATAATAAATTTCTTATAATAAAATTTAATCTTTAATTTTACATTTTTATTTTATATATTTTTTATATTCTTTTTATATGATAACCTTTATTTCATCTATTTCTTAATAAAAATTATTAATAACTCTCATACATAAAACTGTAAAGCTAATAAAAATAAATTCTAATAAATATATAATATTGCGTATATATAACTTTTTTTCTTTTTTAACTAATAATAATTTATATAGATTTAGGTTTACAAATTCATTATTTTTTTATATATATTGATAATTGATTATAATTTTGAAGAATATCAGATTTTTGAAATAAAATAGACTTTTAAAAAAAATTAAGTTTTTAAAATAGATTAGATTCTTGAATTGGATCAGATTTTTGATATTTTTGATATGAATTTAATTTTAAAAGAAAGTCTAGATCATTTGGATTTTGTGATAATTGGTATGATAAAATAAATATTATAAAAAATATTTGACATTCCAATTATTATCTCCTAATATTTTTGTTAATATAAAATAAGAATTAGTACTTTTAAAGATACATTTATAATTTTCTGTTTTTGAATCATAATTGTATATATATCCTTTAAATACTAAAAAATTAATTTTCTGTATAATTAATCATAATTTGTGTACTCTCAATGTATTTTAAATTTTGTTTTAATTTCTCTTTTATATATTAAATCAAAATTTATTACATCTCTTCAATTGTTTTTTTAGACAATTTATACATAGTTAATTTTATTATATTAGCTTTTTTAATTATTATTATATAATTAGCTAAACCAAAATGCTTTTTATATATTTTTCTATATATTATATATTCAAATTTATTATAAAATGTATTATTTGATATTAAAAATATAAATATACTGATTATTTATTATCTACAAATAAAGTTTTTTATTTTTCTATAATAATCCTCTATTTGATTATATAGTAAAATTCAATAAACTAGATCCATCAGTTTTACTAAAAATATCTAATTTATCAGGTTATCTGATACAATTAAAAAGTTTCAATATATCAGATTTTATATAAAATTACGTGAAAATCTGGTATATTAAATTTTAAGTATGATATAATGAAAATAAACAATATAATTCTCTTTATTTAAAAAATTTATTAAAATATTTCATTTGTTAAACAATTAAAGTTAAAAAATTTTTCTAATTTATTCTGCTTCTGCTTTTTTCTATTATCAGAACTAATTT